TTATTTTTATCAATTTTTGTGAAGCTGATACATTGTCTTCAGGACTCTTTGATGAACGGAAATTTAACAGAAATCTTTTGCAACATTATACATTTCTTTACTGTCACTTTTAATCAATTAAATGCATCCTTGCAGAATAAAAGTATTAATTTCTTTCAAAAAACCAATAATAATCTTACAGACTCCAGATTTTGTTCATACTGCCCACCACTACATGGATTTCATTACTGTTTTAAATCCTATTGTGTATTTGTCATGTGTCTCTCCAGGACTTTTAAGCAGGATGTGACGGGTAACCCCAGGGCGATGCTAAAGCTCATGAATAGCGCCGATGTGGCCAAACACACTCTCTCCACCCTGGGCAGTGCAAACTGCTTTGTGGACTCGCTCTACGATGGCATGGATTTTGAGTGCAATGTCTCTCGGTGAGATCAAGTTCAAAATGAGTATTATACAGCAAATTGTTCCTTTTGCTCATCTCTATGTCTCATATGCTTCTGTCCTAGAGCCCGTTTCGAGCTAATATGCTCCAGCCTCTTTAATAAGAGCATTCAGCCAATTAAAAGTCTTCTTGAGCAAGTAAACCTGTCCACCTCTGACATCAACAAGGTAAAACATTTTTTTAATACAAATGTGTGATTATTAGAGGGAGCTGTAGATGTGTATCTCAAATTTCATGCATAAAAAAAATCATTTTGTGATTATTACTGAGCCTTTTAGAGGCATTTAATACACTCTTAAAAAAAAAAAGGTGCTTCATGATGCCATAGAAGAACCTTTTCTGTCTAAATGGTTCCATAAAGAACCTTTAACATCTACGGAACGGAACCTTTCTGTTTCACAAAAGGTTCTCTGTGGTGAAAGAAGGTTCTTGAGATTATAAAAAGGTAAGAAAGAGATGGTTCTTTGTGGAACCAAAAATGGTTCTGCTATGGCATCGCTTTTAAGCACCTTCATTTTTAAGTGTACAGAGTAAATAGTAGATTATTTCAGTGTTTTACATCGTTATAGCAAGAATGGCATCCCAAAACCTTAAACTAAGCCTTTCTTGTCTTAGGTGGTTTTATGTGGAGGATCAGCTCGTTTCCCGAAGTTGCAGCAGATGATCAGGGATTTGTTCCCAGACGTGGAGCTGCTGAACTCCATCCCCCCGGATGAGGTGATTCCGGTCGGTGCTGCCATGCAGGCAGGCATCCTGGTCGGAAAAGACAGCCTTGCACTTGGAGAAGATTCCATCACTGTGGACTGTTGTGCCAGCGACATCACGGTTAAGGTGGGGAGCTTCAAACCATCAATAGAGCTTCGTTTTATGGCATTTTAGCACACGATTGATCAGTAGATTGCGTCTTGGTCTTTCAGGAAGTGGATGACTCTGGAGCGGAGGTTTTCACGGTTTTGTTTCCATCTGGCACACCTCTCCCTGCCCGCCGCCAGCACACGCTACAGGGTCCTGGCAGTCTGTCATCAGTGAGTCTGGAGCTGTACCAAGCACAGCGACCAATCGCACAGGTTAACACTCTTTTAACAGAAAATTAAATGAGACATTCGGCCTGTATTGTGCATTTCGGCTGATTTCTCCTTAAGGTTAATGACTTGAAATGTGACTCTTAATTTTCTAGATTGTACTTAGAGACTTGGAACCTAAAGAGGAGCTGCATGACATTGTCACAGTGCTGACAATGAAGAGGTAATGAAATAAATGAATACTTTTATTCAGAAAAGATTAATTAAATTGATCAATATGACAGTAAAACATTTATAATGTTGCAAAAGATTTTTTTTTTTTTTTTTAAATGCTGTTTTGAAATGTCTATTTATTAATAAAAAATATTATTACAGTTTCCACAAAATATTAATGATAATTAGAAAAGATTTTTGAGCAGCAAATCAGAATATTAAAATGATCTCTGAAGGATCATGTGACACTGAAGACTGGAGTAATGATGCTGAAAATTAAGTTTTGCATCACAGGAATAAATTACATTTTAAAATATATTAACACAGAAAACAGTTATTTTGAATTCTAATAATATTTCACAATATTGCTGTTTTAATTGTATTTTCAATCAAATAAATGCTGCCTGAAGAGACTTTTCAAAAACATTACAAAAATCTTACAGACTGCAAACTTTTGAACAGTGGATATTAAACATCAAACATTGGCTATTATTTTGTTGCTTGTGTAATGACACAGTGCTATATACAGTAAATTCGGTAATATTACTCATAATCATACTCAACTGTCATAAAGCTCATGTCCTTATTTGAACAGTTTCTGATGTGTGTTTGCTTTTCAGGGGTGGTTCACTGCATGTTACGTGCACAGAGCAGGGCAGCGGCAGAGCTGAGGCCATTACCATAGAAACGGCTGCTGCAGCATCTTAACCTTGAATCACGCCGTCAACGTAATTCCATACAGTAACCTAAACACCTGCATCTCATGCTGTTTGAGGTTTTCCACTGCTCTAGATTCCTCTAGACCTTAATTGAAGCAAACAAGTTCAAGTTCTTGTTAAGTTAAAGGAGTAGCTCACCCAGAAAGCAAAGTTATTCTCTTGTTCCAAACCTGTTATTTTTCTTTGGAAGAATTATTATACAGCTTTTGCCATACAACAACCATTCATAGTGACAAAAGGAGAAAACAAGTAGTTCTTTGTCTTGTTTGGAGCTTGGGATTTTTTTTTTTTATATGGGTTTAGAATATCACGAGGGTGTGTAAAAAAAAAAATAAAAAAAAAAAAACAGTTTTCCTTTTTGTGTGAATTATTCATTTAAAATAATATCCAGGTTTAATTGTATACTCCCTTTTGCATTTTTGTTTAAAAACAGAAGTCATCTTAAACTATTTTTCAAACCTGTTGTCTGTGACCAGCAGGTTTACTGTAGTTGTTATTACCATGTGCCTTCATGTACCTGCATCACATCAATCACATATATGAATATATATGTGACAAGCAAAATAACTGGATGAAGTAAGGAAGCCTGTGACATTCACTGATACCATTTAAAGCATGAACAACCTTATCAGACTGAAGAGAGACTTTCATATGTTGTATAGACTGAAGAGAAGCAGGTGCAGGTGACTGAAGCGATACTAATCTGGTGCAGTCACATCTAGCAGGTGCAAAATAATCACTTTTTTTTTTAAAGCCGTTCTCCGTATTTGTCATCTGTAACTAGTACGCAATAAAGATCACAGAACACAATAAACCCTGAGCTTATGTTGCAGTCACGTCAGGTCGATTTTTTTTTATTACCGATTCCAAATTTTAAAAACCATTCACATATTTTGTCAAACTTGTAATTTTTTAACATTTTGTTTTACAAACGTATACAGGTGTATTCTGACACAGTGTGTATGTAGCAATACAATATACAGTAAATAAAACATTCAATGTTATTTAGTATTATAACATTAATATTTTGAATTAGCTTTTTTTTATATTTTACCTTTTATTTTATGTTCTAGTAATTCTGTTATGTGCTTTTGTCATTTTGTATTAGTTTTTGTCTTTTTTTTTATATTTACATTTAGATTTATTTTTATTTGTTTTGGTGTTTAGATTTTTTAGTTCTTCAACCTGAATGAAAATTTTAAATGTTGTCTTAGCAGGTGAAATAAATCAAGTTTATGAAGTTTAAATTTTTCATCTATTTACATTTCAGCTTTATTTCAATTAAATAAACAGCTTTTAATTAATGCTGTCAGAACGATTAATCGCATCCAAAATAAAAGTTTTTGTTTACATAATATATGTATGTGTGCTGTGTATATTTATGTATATACAGTGGGTACGGAAAGTATTCAGACCCCCTTAAATTTTTCACTCTTTGTTATATTGCAGCCATTTGCTAAAATCATTTAAGTTCATTTTTTTTCCTCATTAATGTACACACAGCACCCTATATTGACAGAAAAACACAGAATTGTTGACATTTTTGCAGATTTATTAAAAAAGAAAAACTGAAATATCACATGGTCCTAAGTATTCAGACCCTTTGCTCAGTATTTAGTAGAAGCACCCTTTTGATCTAATACAGCCATGAGTCTTTTTGGGAAAGATGCAACAAGTTTTTCACACCTGGATTTGGGGATCCTCTGCCATTCCTCCTTGCAGATCCTCTCCAGTTCTGTCAGGTTGGATGGTAAACGTTGGTGGACAGCCATTTTTAAGTCTCTCCAGAGATGCTCAATTGGGTTTAAGTCAGGGCTCTGGCTGGGCCATTCAAGAACAGTCACAGAGTTGTTGTGAAGCCACTCCTTCATTATTTTAGCTGTGTGCTTAGGGTCATTGTCTTGTTGGAAGATAAACCTTCGGCCCAGTCTGAGGTCCTGAGCACTCTGGAGAAAGTTTTCGTCCAGGATATCCCTGTACCTGGCCGCATTCATGAGAAATGTAGCATTACATCACTTGCTCACCAATGGATCCTCTGCAGTGAATGGGTGCCGTCAGAATGAGAGACCGAATAGCTGATAAAAACATCACAATGATCCACAAGTAATCCACACAACTCCAGTCCATCAGTTGACACCTTGTGAAGCGAAAAGCTGCATCTTTGTAAGAAACAAATCCATCAAGACTTTAACTACACACCATTGCTTCCAGCTAAAACATGTGTCCTCTATCTAGGGCTGTCAAACGATTCACATCCAAAATAAGTTTGTTTACATAATATACATGCGTGTGTACTGTGAAAATATATATTTATACACACACACCCCCATGTACATATTTAAGAAAAACATAGGTTTATATTTTATACATATTATAAATTTATAAATTATACGAATATAAATGTAGACATGTAAATATTTTCAAAATATATACTGCATGTATGTGTATTTATATATATATATATATATACATAATAAATATACACAGTACACACATATTATGCAAACTAAAACTTTTATTTTTGGATGCGATTAATCGTTTGACAGCACTACTTTTAATAGGTTTACTTTAAAATAACATTTATAAACATTTTGTATTTGCTTGAGAACTTTTAATTTATATTTATAAAGATACAAAACTCCATGAGGTAAGCTGTCGTACAACAAACCAGAAATTAATATTCAAACATGAAATCAAAAAATCTGTCTTATGACCACTTCCTCCCCTGCTGCCAACTTCCTGTACAGTTCCTTCAGGTCTTCTGGTTGTGGGACTTTGGACCCTGGTGTTGGCGGAAGCTCAAAATCTGATGATACCTGTGAGTCTGATTTAGGCTCCATGGCTTCTTCCTCCTTGGGTTCAACATTACGGCTGTCAATCACATCTGACACCACCTCGCCATTGGTCCCTCGGTTACTCTGCTCACTAGTAACGGCCTTACTTTCATCCACTTGGACAAGAACAGTGTCCATTTGACTGAGGCTCTCCGTCTCTGCGTCCGATATATGAGTGGACTGTGAGGAAGTCAAGTGAACAGAGCTGCTGTCATCATCTTCATCCTGAAACCGCTCCGGTGACTGGGACTCTGTGTTTTCGGTGGCGAGTGTTTTCGGGTTGTGGCTGTTCTGACTGTTATCCAGTTCGCTCTCATCCGTCAACACTGGTTCCGCCTTGAAGAACTTTTGCCAACAAGGCGGAGTTGTTTTGGATTGGGATGGGTCTGACTGAGTCAGTTTTGAGGATGGCATTTCTGTGCAAGGTGGAGGAGGTGGAGCAACATCAGATGGGTGAGATATAGGAGGTTGCTCAGTATCATCTTTGTCATTATCGTCATCGTCGTCATCATTTGATTCAGTGCAGTCCATGTAATTGGTAGAGTGTGTGGCAAGACAGGGCTCTATGAAGGAAAACATTGGGTCCGTATCATGAGAACCTTTTTTAGGGCTACGAGGCTGTTCACTAACGGCAACCTTGGTCAGGTCGGTCACTGTTATTTTTCGCCGCCTTGGAGCTGTGGAAACCTCCTCAAAAAGGTCGTTATCACCATCTGAGCCTTAACGGAAAGATATAGAGTATACGTTTAAAAGCAATAGTAAAAGTTGTATTAATAATGAAAGCTACTTGTACCTTCTGATGTGCACCTCTTTCTGGTTCTTTTGAGGACCCCAAGTGGTTTGTAGACAATCTCCTCCCTTCCAGACTGTTTTCTACACAATGGCTTCAACCTGAATTTGAAAAAAAAAAAATAATAATTTTATAGTAATTACCTAAAGTCTTATGACAACACGGTACCAAAAAATTGGTTTTGTCCTTACAGCGCCATGACGTCTTCCAGTGTCTTTCCCAACGGAATGACATTAGGATAGATGTTAACAGGACAGATGTAGGAGAGAAAGTCTTTAACCTAGTCACAGGAAATAGACACAGGATTATAACATACAAACATTGAGTATGGTGTGTCACATGAAGAATATCCTTGCCAGTGGGATTGGTCTCACCTCCAAATAAGAGGAATGAAAAGAAAAGCATGCTCTGTAGGAACTACTTCCCATCCTGTAAAGAAAGACACTGTGAATAAATAACTAAAATATATAATTACATTTAATAAAAAATAAAAGAAAGTTTTTCTCACACACACACACATATATTGGATGCGATTAATCGTTTGACAGCACTACTTTTAATAGGTTTACTTTAAAATAACATTTATAAACATTTTGTATTTGCTTGAGAACTTTTAATTTATATTTATAAAGATACAAAACTCCATGAGGTAAGCTGTCGTACAACAAACCAGAAATTAATATTCAAACATGAAATCAAAAAATCTGTCTTATGACCACTTCCTCCCCTGCTGCCAACTTCCTGTACAGTTCCTTCAGGTCTTCTGGTTGTGGGACTTTGGACCCTGGTGTTGGCGGAAGCTCAAAATCTGATGATACCTGTGAGTCTGATTTAGGCTCCATGGCTTCTTCCTCCTTGGGTTCAACATTACGGCTGTCAATCACATCTGACACCACCTCGCCATTGGTCCCTCGGTTACTCTGCTCACTAGTAACGGCCTTACTTTCATCCACTTGGACAAGAACAGTGTCCATTTGACTGAGGCTCTCCGTCTCTGCGTCCGATATATGAGTGGACTGTGAGGAAGTCAAGTGAACAGAGCTGCTGTCATCATCTTCATCCTGAAACCGCTCCGGTGACTGGGACTCTGTGTTTTCGGTGGCGAGTGTTTTCGGGTTGTGGCTGTTCTGACTGTTATCCAGTTCGCTCTCATCCGTCAACACTGGTTCCGCCTTGAAGAACTTTTGCCAACAAGGCGGAGTTGTTTTGGATTGGGATGGGTCTGACTGAGTCAGTTTTGAGGATGGCATTTCTGTGCAAGGTGGAGGAGGTGGAGCAACATCAGATGGGTGAGATATAGGAGGTTGCTCAGTATCATCTTTGTCATTATCGTCATCGTCGTCATCATTTGATTCAGTGCAGTCCATGTAATTGGTAGAGTGTGTGGCAAGACAGGGCTCTATGAAGGAAAACATTGGGTCCGTATCATGAGAACCTTTTTTAGGGCTACGAGGCTGTTCACTAATGGCAACCTTGGTCAGGTCGGTCACTGTTATTTTTCGCCGCCTTGGAGCTGTGGAAACCTCCTCAAAAAGGTCGTTATCACCATCTGAGCCTTAACGGAAAGATATAGAGTATACGTTTAAAAGCAATAGTAAAAGTTGTATTAATAATGAAAGCTACTTGTACCTTCTGATGTGCACCTCTTTCTGGTTCTTTTGAGGACCCCAAGTGGTTTGTAGACAATCTCCTCCCTTCCAGACTGTTTTCTACACAATGGCTTCAACCAAAAAAAAAAAAAAAAAAAATAATAATTTTATAGTAATTACCTAAAGTCTTATGACAACACGGTACCAAAAAATTGGTTTTAGCGCCATGACGCCATGACGTCTTCCAGTGTCTTTCCCAACGGAATGACATTAGGATAGATGTTAACAGGACAGATGTAGGAGAGAAAGTCTTTAACCTAGTCACAGGAAATAGACACAGGATTATAACATACAAACATTGAGTATGGTGTGTCACATGAAGAATATCCTTGCCAGTGGGATTGGTCTCACCTCCAAATAAGAGGAAAGAGAGTTTTTCTCACACACACACACACATATATATATATATATATATATATATATATATTTTTTTTTTTATAAGTAATTGCATGCAAAGTTTCTTTTACATTCAGATTTCCTGTACCATCATCTAACATTTAAAGTTGATCTTTTAAAGATTACATTTAACAGTGCAATGTAATAGTGTTTTCAAAAAAAATTTGAAAATGAATTTTCATTTTTAATACTGTACTTTTTAAAAAAATTTTAACACTGTAATATCAATAAAATGGGAAATTTTAGTGTCTTATTCTGATAAATAAATATTAATAAAATTTTAATATCGCCCATAACATGAAACGAATTATCTGCAGCTGGGATTTTAATATCAATGCTTTGTGACTCACTTGACAATGACAGAGGTCTTTCTGGTCTGTTCTCCAAACCATATGGTTGAGGGTTTGATGCTGATTATGTTTAGAGGAATGCCATCCGGAGCTGTGGAGCCACACGGTAACCTGTTTGCCCTGAAGAACTCCTCGTCCTGTGAAAACCACCATTGTGATCATTGTCTCTAGGACATATATGATGGTGTCATTATGCAAAGGTGAGTGTACCTTGGGGTGCCTACAAGCGTGAATCTGTGTTGCACGGTCGGTGGTCACGTGACACAGAATTTCAGGCATTTTTTTGAACATATCCAAGCTGTTCACGTGTATCTATAATAGAGAAATGGTGTTAATGTTTTAAAATAATGAAGAAAGAAAACTAAAACAAAAAACAATCTCTGACCTGTGAGCTGAACTCTTGTCCCAGATTGGTAAAGAGGTACTCATAACCGTACGCTGCCTTACAGTTTAACCAAACAACATGATACGGACTCTGACAGATCCAGTCCTGGACCAGCTGCCTTATCCCTGCCAAACAAGCCTCCTAAATACAGAAAAGACAGTTATGAATGGACCTTATGAACAAGCTCTGTATGATATGATGCAGGCGAGTAAATGCTTACCCTGCTGGGGATCTGATGATACTTGGGATCAAAGAATGTGGTGTCGATATACACACTCTGAATGTCTTTTACCCTGCAGCACAAACATTTGAATGCTATCGTTATATAAAAATGTGCTATACTTATTTTAATATGTGATATCTGAATACCTGTCTCCAGAGTGCAAGTACTCCATTCTAGCTGCATCTCCGACAGCCAGTCTGAAGTCCCCTGTGTACAGCACTGTACCCTGAGCACCCTCAAACAGAAACCTGTTTAAAGTCAATATTAATTCAAAACTGTTCTTAATGCATGTTCATGCTCTTATTTTGCTGAGGTTGCTTACATGACTGATCCTGGACAGTGTCCCGCCGGAAGCAGAGTAACAACAACATCCTCTGACTGAACAGAAAAACAGATACAACTTCAGATCAACTCAAAAACACTCTGAAGAATAAACTAGGAGCTAAATACCCACCTCTCCAGTGATTTCATCTATCAGAGATATGTGAGTTGGACTGTCCAGTTCCAGTGGGACCTAGTATGTAAAGATTCTCATATTAGGCTGTCTTATAGTTAACAAAATTATTTATAGAGAAATTTCATAACGGAGATTGGCACTTACAATATAATCTTCCCAGAATGCATATCTGGGGTTATTAAGAAGGAGCTCCTTTGTGACAAATGAACAGTACAGCTTGACTGTTAAACTAATGGAGACAAAGCCATAAATTAATATTTTTAAAAACTAGCATTTATGCAACAAATTAGAGCGTAAAAATGTTTTAATGATATATGAAAAAGGGGTTATTAAATTTGAGATCTGTTTAAGATGACATTGAACTGTTATTAAATTCTTAATGTTTTTAAAGATCCACTTTAAACTATGACAGCACAATAAATCTAAATGCAAAATAGAATAGAATAAAAGTAGAATACACAAACGTACATTTTGTACATAAACACATTTGAAGAAACTAATACTGTTGCATCGAATAGTAAGCCATTTATTACTCGCAAAAAAAGCTTGTTTAAAAAATATTAGTATATAAACAAATGTAATTCTGAGACTAAAGTAATGCATATAAAAATTCAGTAATTTACACATATATTACATGAAACTGGAGACAAAGCCAACGGTTCACGTAAACTTGTACAGTTAAACGTTTATAAACAAATGTTTAATAAGAAAAGGATGTTTCATATGTCACGTGGGTTGGAATATGTACAACTATCACTCACCTGAACTTCAGTTTTCTCTTCAGAAAAGGTCCTTTCAACCCTTTCATATGATCTATTAGATTAAACAACAACAGATATAGCAAGCAAAACAAAGTTCATAGATGCAATGTCCTTTATATACGCACCTTTATGGCAGTGAGAGAGAAAATAAGCTCTGGCGTGCAAATTCTCCCGGTCAAATCGGTCCAGAGAGATGCTGGGATACTCCTTCATGCGGCCAGCAAACGAGCTCATGCTGACTGCAGCGAGTTTGAGCCGCTAAAACACTCCAAAAAAGCAGCTGAGAGCTCAGGACATCACTGCCCAAACTCTTTCTGGGCGAGAAGCAGCACCCCCGCATCTGTCTTTCCTCCTCCTGGCATCGCTTGGGCATGAAACCACGTGATTCGGAAATTAACATCTGTAATTTGATAGTGTGTGAATAGCACAGCGACATCTACTGGACTCGAAAACAATACTCAAAACATTGCAAAAAGCCACAGTAGTCGGTATACTCTAAAACAATACATTGAGGAAAAAATGCGAACGAAGTATCGCAAATAATTATGCATATCCTGGAACTGTTCGGTTTGTTTCTTCTAGGCAAGTTCCCGGGTATAGTTTTAAATGGCCGACCAAACAGGGGAACTCCGGGTGTGTTTTCGATTGGCCACTTCTCCCTCAAGCTTTTTGTTTTTAGCTAGCTATGTTGCTAGGAAACAAATGATGCGCAAGACTGTTCAGCAGTCTGTCACACAAGTCGATGTAAGTTTGTATTAAAAACCGTATTAATAATAAATATAAACACATTGTCGTTTATTATCAGAATGTAAGACGGGTTCTGAGTGAATTAGACTAGCTTCTTAGCTGACAAAGTTTGTAAATCCAGAATATCCAGCATTAGGTCAGCGTTACTTGGTAATGTTTTTGAGCGTAACATTTGTGCGTGCTGTGTTGTTGTATAAGTTGATTTGACTTGATTTTGTGCAAAAATGTAATTTGTAGTGAAACTGTATTTATACCAAAGGAGAATACTGGGATGTGTTTATCATGCGCAGAAATAATGTCCTGTTCAGTTTTACTGGATAACAACGCCAAGCCGAAGTCCATGAGCCGAGCAAAGCAGTGGACAGGAGAGATTGAGAACCTGTACAGATTTCAGCAAGCTGGATACAGAGATGAGCTGGAGTACCGACAGATCAAACAAGTCCAGGTTTCCATTTTTGTTTTATTACTACAGTATTATACATTATTACATTATATAATGCTTGTTTAGAATATACATACAAATTCAGAAATGGCATGCAATATATTTTATATTTTCTTTGATTATGCAAATGTGAATATATAGTGTGTGTGTGTGTGTGTGTGTGTGTGTATACATATATACAGTCAAACCAAAATTTACTCAGACACCTTCAACATTTATCACATTACACGCTATAGGTAACTAAATATGACAAGAACTCAGAGTTAAACTGTGTCAGAACTAATTCATCTTGATAATGTCAGATAACTTTGATAGAAAGGTATGTAATGGATTACAATCAACCAAAAATTATTCAGCTGTTAAATTGAAGCACACAATTAGATAATACCAATTTAGGTCAACCAAATACCAAGCAATGCTTAATGTTGTTCAGTCTGTGGTGTAAAAAGGTTGCATTAGCAATTAAAGAAAAACACTTAAGCTAAACATGGTCAGGTCAAAGTGTCTGAATAATTTTTGGTCCCAAATTTTTATCAGATTTAGTGGTAGTACATCATATATATATATATATATATATATATGAAGCTCATCTGCTAAGCTTTATGGGATATTTTTTATTATTGAAAGTGTTTATGCTTTGTCAGTTAATTTCTTACCTAATTATAGCTTGCCGTTTTTAATATAAATTTCAATGTTTTCCTATTGAATATGGCTGTGCTGTCTTTTCAGATTGACCGTTGGCCGGACACTGGGTTTGTGAAGAAGCTTCAACGACGAGATAACACATTTTACTACTACAACAGAAAGCGGGAGTGCGAAGATCGAGAGGTCCATAAAGTGAAGGTGTACGCGTACTGACAGCTCCTCGACCCAGCCAGCACTTATGCCATTTTCTATTTTTAAGTTTTGTAATACTGTCTTTAGAAAATGCATGATCAGAGTTATCCTTCTGTATTCTTAATGTAAGTCTTGGTAAAATTTTTGAATAAAACCACTGATTTAAATAAACATTTTTTTCACATGAATGTACCATTTGGTGATTCATATTTCAAAGGTGAATAAATAGCCAACCTTTCATCTCTTTAATAAATTCTACAAACGTAGGCTGGTACATTTTTAGTGGTTTGCTCGGTTTTCTTAACTATGCAGCACACAATTGGAAATGAGAGACTCTAGTACGACTCTAGCACTACTCTAGCATAACAGAAAAATCGAAAATGTCACTAATACAAGTACTTTGGGTTGAGACAATAAAATAGAAGTAAAACATTGACAATAAAAAGACAATAGCTTGTGAATATTAATTCAGGGAAATACGTTAATAATTGATCATCAAAACCCATCAACGAGTATCAACGATGATTGTGCATTTAAATGACAATTTGACCAAATTTGAGGGTTGCGCCTTCACTAAATAAATAAACATATAACGGACAGCGTGGCCCTTTAAGAGCACGTCACTTCCGGTTTCATTAGACATGAAACCGGAAGTTTCACTAGACGTGAGTCGTCAAAACTGATCTTTTGAAGTCATGCGGATAATGCTCCGATCGGAAAACACCCCCGTGTGATCTATATATCCCTCTGTTTGTTATATACAGGTAAGTTCAATAAGTTGAGTTGTTTATTATACTCTAATTCCCTCTGTGCCGGTCAAATGGTTTGTTTTGTTTCACATTAGCTTGTTAGCTTTTTCATGGCTTAATATTAATCTACAACAACAATCTGTTTGTGGTCGTATTTACTTTTTTTCAACTGAAAGCATTGTGCTTAGTTGTCACATAAGACTAAAAAATGCCAGTTCAGTGGATGATGTTTATTAATCGGTATGTAAGTGTGAATATATAAACAAAAATCAGTTTATGCACCTGCACTGATACATTACAGTCAAAGCTATAAAGTCATTTACTGGACTGATAAGGTGTTTAGATGAACGTGGTTATCTGAAAGGGATCTACGATTGTTTTGTTACAACTCAGCAATTTTAAATAGGCCACCTTTTTGAGAAGAATCTAGACTAGAACGATCAATACTAGGAAATGAATGCAAGTGACATTAGACACTAATGGTCCATTTACTTTATTTGGTTACAGTGCTGAAAAATAGTCTGGAGATCACCACTGTTGGATAACTTTTGACACGAGCTGCATCCAGAATTTTTGAGACATTATCCATTATCATAATGAAGATTTGCATTGGATTGCAAGGTAATGTGCTGTAGGTTGTGTACATAAAATTATATATACAGTTTTAAGGACTTAATTTTCCTGTTAAAGGAATAGTTCATCCAAAAATGCTTTATTATTATTATTATTATTAACGTACATGTTGTTCCAAACTTATTTGACTTACAGAAGAAAAAACTAATAACAGTAATGTAATGAGTAAATGGTAACAGAAGTTTCATTTTTAGGTGAACTGTCTCTGTAAGGATGTCTTTTCTAGTGACACCATCACTAATATACTTGTGACACAAATAAATTGGCATAATATTGTTTAAATGTCCTGTTTGTATGTGACTATATGGTTAAATAAACACTAACAGGGCTCTGCATAAGCCACAAACCATATAAACTGAGCAGAACTTTCTTTCCTTCTGCACTGACGTCAAGATCAAGCTCTCACATGACCGATCACACATTTTTAAGGCTGTTCTTATGCTTTCATGATCCAGTCCGCCTGAATCAACTCAAGACCCTTGGGCTGATTATTAGAAAGGCAGGCTTGTTGTGTTACTCTGAAGCACCATTGTAATAAAAGTCTTTGGATTCATGGGAAAAGGAGCAAAGTTTGTGACAGATCATTAAGTGCTGGGGCTCTGGGATTTGTTAGTTCATATCACACACTTTGACATGCCATTAAATTATGAGTGAACTAAGAGAATGTTTTAATGATTTAACGCTCTAGGTAACCCGACTGTGACTATGTCCTGCCTCTGAATCTCTTGCCGTGAGGAGCAAACCCAACCTAAAGAGCAGCGGACATGCACTGCCGTCCTCTGCTCCACAGGGGGAGCTGCTGGTAGAAGATATCAGGAAAGGGTGTGTGCACTGCTCTGGCCATGGATGACTTCACTACACGCACCTATGGCACCAGCGGCATGGACAACAGGCCTCTGTTCGGGGAGACATCTGCCAGGGTAATGCACATTATAATATCAGGACCATGATTTTGTTATTGAACATCAGTTTTGCTTAGAAAAATATCACATTGTAAAATAGGTTGCATGTTGGATTATACAGAACAGTATCTAGAAGGAGTATTGCATGTAAACAAACAAAAAAAAAAGTTAATTGTGACTTTAAAGGAATACAGTAGTTCACCAAAAATGAAAATTTGCTAAAAATGTACTCACCCTCAACCCATCCAATATGTAGGTGAGTTCTTCATCGTAACATTACATCACTTGCTCACCAATGGATCCTCTGCAGTGAATGGGTGCCGTCAGAATGAGAGTCCAAACAGCTGATAAAAACATCACAATAATCCACAAGTAATCCAAACGACTCCAGTCCATCAATTAATGTCTTGTTAAGTGAAAAGATGCTTGTTTGTAACAAAAAAACAAACAAATCCGTCAAGGCATTTTCGTTTCAAATCCTTTATTCAGCCTCTATCCATAATATTGCTTTCTTCAGTGAAAAAAAAATGGTCTTGTATTAATCAGGATAGAAATATGCACAGATCAAGCTGTTTACAAGTGAAAACATTTCTAAACAAATATGTTGGTGGATTTTGGTGTAAGAGGACAACATGAGATGGACTTTTTCACTGGAGGAAGCATCTTTATGGATTATACGCTCTTATAAACTCTTATTTCATTTCACATTTTTGGGTGAACTATTCCTTTAAATCTCACAACGTGGCTATTTTTTATTTTAAACTTTAACCAGCTTTGTTCACCCTTGAGGCATTCCGTATATTAGTGCAATGTAAATAATAAATAATATTTACCGCAGCACCTATAAGTGCAACTATTTTCTGTCAACTACACCACTAATATATTTTTGTCGATCACTTTCAGGATAGAATCATCAATCTAGTGATCGGTGGACTTGCGTCTTTACTCGTTCTGGTAAGTTTGACCACTAATAAAGATCTCAGTATATATCTGTTAATCATATTGTCATTATTAACTTTCGCCATCTCTCTTTCAGGTGACCATCATTAGCTCATTCGTCTTCCCATCTCTTCCTCCCAAGCCACTGAATATATTCTTTGCCGTCTGTATCATGCTAGTCTGCGGGTCAGTGTTGGTTCTGGTGAGTAAGTACTTGCAATGTAATCTAAAAAGCATTATGCTTAATTGTTTAAATGGTGCCGAAGAGAAATAAATAGTTTCAAATGCAATTCCTAATCGAAAGAAATGAAATCACATCCATCGCTTTCTCTCGCAGATATACTGGTATAGGCAAGGAGATCTGGAGCCCAAGTTTCGCAACTTGATCTACTACATGCTCTGTTCCATCGTTCTGCTGTGTATCTGTGCCAACTTGTATTTCCACGACGTGGGACGTGATAAACAGAGCAATGCCTTATAAAGCTGTTTCCATGGGAGCCGTCCCAATCAGTGGAATGTTCATCTTTATGTGGGTGCTTTGGAACCCCACATAACCCCACTCGAGTTCTTCAATCAGGAGAATTCATTTTCCTACAAGCCCCATTTGTGTGGGCAGGGCCAGTCTGCCTTTGGGAGCCATGTTAGCGGACTAAACATATTATAGATGCAAATATGCTAGCGATCAGTAGCACTCTGGGATATCCGTGCACACATTTTGCACCCTGAATGCTGTACACAGCTTAACCTATATGCCAATGTAATGACAAGACTGGGATGTTTTGAAATAAGCCATGGTAATGTAATGCATAATGCTTTTATATTTGTACATGACACATCTATGGTACATTCCGAATTAAGAAAAATCTTTATTTTGTATTTAAATGATTAGAAATGCAATCTTGAATAAGAGCACTTGATTAAAGACATGCAGCAGTCATTGTAAATTATGCTTTTTGTTCATTTTTTCTAAATTACTGAACACTGTTATTTGATATGGTGCAAAACCTTACAATTTTGGTTATCAACTGTTGTAATTTGGATTTTATGTAATGAATAAATACATATACACACTATACATTTGTTGTGCTTTATTTTTTAGTACAAAGTTGGGGAACTTTGTTCACATTTCACCAGGTCTTTGTGACCACTAGATGGCGCAGCTGGGTTTAGACAATAAGTGTTTACGTCTTTGTCTTTGTGCAAACTAGATTAATAATTCAGTTAACATAATAGTTCATATCTACAGCTAATTAAAAAATAATGATTACATTTTTGTAAGTAGACCTGCATTCCATTTTCTGTAAACTTTCTGGGTTGCAAACATAACATTTTAATCATAAAATGATAAGTCTTGCAATATCCCAAAATAAATTATTTTTAAAAGTGCTACTGATTTGCAGGAATGATTAAAAAAGACAAAGCTCATTTGATTTTTTCAGAATTTTGTGAATATAATTTTTTTTTAAACTGCCATTTGCTCACATTACTTGCATGTTGCTCAAAACTGCATGACAGTTTCCTCCATGAGGGTTGAGAGGATTGAAAAACACAGATACTGACTGATGAATCATTGGTACTGACTATTAAATACTGATATTGATAATTATGTCTTGTTTCAAATCTCATGCATTCCAAAGTTTTTAAGTGAAGACAGTGGCTCAAAGCATAATCCGACTACAGGTAAAGCATTTTTCATTATATAAATCAATGTTTGTCCGAAAATATACCTGAGCAGAAATCCCACTATTGATTGTTAAAGCAATTAAGTGTTTGCCTTTCATACATGAAAGTGTTGGTTCAAATCCTACTGTTGCTTAAGTCTGTCATCCTTTTCAACGACGCTCTCAATACAACACCATCCAAAGCACTCAACAACTCAAGAGCTCAACAGGTGTAGTGGCGCAATGGATAAAGCACTGCGCTTTCATCTAGGAGACCTGAGTTCAAATCTCACTATTGCTTCCTATAAATTGTTGTCATTACATCCAACAAAGTGCCATAAAAGCTCAAATGCGAAAGCCACAATGGGTTAGTGGTTAAGCACATGTGTTTGGCTGTGATGGCGGAATGGGTTCAAATCCCACCTCAGACAACAATCACCCAACTGAATGCTTTAACTGGTTTATTGTAAAATCACATACAGGTGAATAGTGAAATATACGTTCCAGCACAACCTCAAGCAAGAGATCTGTGGCTCACAGGTAAGAGCGCTGCCTCACGGTTCGGAGGTCGCTGGTTCAATCCCAGCCAGATCTCTGTGATATGAGTGAGTGTTGTGTGAATGAAGGGGTGAGGATGATTCGGGTCCCCCCCTGAGACCCAGAGCGATGTCCAGCAGCGGTTATGCTTCTTTAAAGAAAAAATATTTTTTTTTTAGCTGTCTAAAATTTTTGAACCGCCGTCCCTTCCCCATCCATTTAGGTTCCCATCATTTAGCTTTCTAGAGAGGTGACCCTCCAAAAAGAAAGTGATGGTAACCTACACGTGTAGTACACAGCAAAACACAAACACAAGCTCTAAGTCTTACCTGTCCTTGAGCAGACGTCTATCATTACAGTCAAAGTCTGTCCACACGTCCCAGAGCTCTGCTTCTGTCCAAACACATCCCGTCTTCAGAGAAACGACAAAAATAAACAGACATTACTATATTTAGTACATCTAAAACATCTGAATTTACAAGTTAGTCTAAATAAATCTAAAACTTATATACATATATACATACATATTAGTGCTTTCAAACAATTAATTGCGATTAATCACATCCAGAATAAAAGTTTTTTGTTTACATAATACATGTGTGTACTGTGTATATTTATTATGTGTATATAAATACAAACATGTATGCATACAACAAATATGTATGTATATATGCGTCACTTATGTACTCATTATGTCTCTTTTCACTGCTGAATGAATGCTGTGTGACTCACATGCTGTTGAAGTCGAGCTTGTGGCCTTCAAGCTGTTTCTGTGTTTCAGCCTCTGGTTAATGTGCTGCAGAAAAACTGAGCAAAACAAAATACATGTGTATCAGGACAATGTCCATTTACATTTGTAAAGCTGAGATGAGACTTCCCTTTGCAGCAAACAACTGACTGTATATATGATGCTTATTATTATTAAAAGGAAAAGCACAGCAACTCTATAAAAGCATGAAGCAGCAGGAACAGAGCTTCACAAACCTACTGACTCCAGTAACAAACACAAGTATCTTACCTACAGTAAGACTGCAACAACAACTAATAAACTGACAGAGCAGCCCTGCTTAACCATAACTTACTAGAAAAACAACGACGCGCCAATATTTAAACAATTCGCAAAACTTAAAAAACGACTTAAACGCAAATAAGAAGAGCTTGAGAAGGATAACGCAAGAAAGCACTGCATGTGGAGACTTACTTAAGGTTACAGTGAGTCGCAGGTCACTCGTTTCCTGCATTTATCGCAGCATGTGTCTATTCTGTTTGTTAATGGGTCGGAATATGTGCCGTTCAGTTAGATTTATAAAACAGTCACTGAGCTGTCATCTCCAGGATCTGTATTTTAAACGGTCTGCACGCGTTGTAAACAAAGTCACGTTTGTCACGCAGCATCCTGAACGAGGTGTGAGTCTGACCGTGAAGCCGCTTACGCCGCCTAGTGGAGCGGATGAAAACTGCACTTCTGTTTCTACCTACGAGTCGTGTATTATAGTGACAGCAGGGTCCAAAATCGTTTCTTTCTTTTTTTCATATTTTAACTTTTTCCTACTCCAGCTAAAGTCGCTATTTACGATATTAAATGTGTATAAGCCAGACAAAGAGCTGACCATCGGCTCCCTCTTGTGGTCAATAAGTGTCTCAGCATCTAGAGATGAAATAAACTCTAGGAGGCTAATAACGTTAGTCGCACTTCAGAGGGCAGGGCTCAGAGTTACATTTTTCTACATTTCTTTTGAACGAATCTATGATTTTGTCAGAGCTTTGACCAGCTGAGAAACATGGATCTATTAGATTCGGTAAATAAACACGATCAGCTCTCAGTTGATGGGGTAATGTTGCGTTGAACTGAACTCAAGCACATGCTTCAAAGTGTGAACACACACAACATACGGGATATAAGATCTCCCGAGACTGTTTTAGGTTGGAAACGGAGATGTGTATTTGTTTTTATTGATTTAAAATGATATGTACCATGTTTGTTCACGGTTAAACAATGATTTTGGTGTTTTGTGCCTGTGTTTGCAGACTCGAGCAGTATTTATTTTAGTGCTTGTTTGGTTATGGGGAAGTGGAATGATCTACAGGCCGGTCAGAGTGATTGATCACTCATGCATCTATTGCAAAGATCCTGAATCAAAACGATAGCTGATAAACTAATGACTAATATAATGGCTAAACACTGAAATGTTTTATATTGATGAATCTAACAGGCAAATGCATGAAATCAATTTAGTGTGTTCACCCCCGTGTGGACAAAATGTGTACATGCATGATTATAAGACGACAGCAGTAGAAGCAAAGAGACTGGAAGAAACGAGCCTTTTCAAAGCTCTGAATCAGTTGAAACAATATTGGTTTGCAAAATGATTCACTGTTTCGAAGCGCTCAAAACGCCACTCACTGGTGACGCCTGCTGGTCAAAGCTGTAAGTGCAAGAAAAACTGTCCAAAACATGCCTAAAAAGCTTTTACAAACCCACTGCAAGTATTTTATTGAAAGTACAATATCTTAAATGCAATTAACAAACCACCAAATGCCATTAAATCTGACGTGTCTGTATAATATGTGTTCTTTTATTAATTTGCAGAGTTTGTTTTGTTTTTATATAGAGGACTGTTTTATTGTAAGCACCCATTACTAACTCAAATCTGATTAAAAACACCTGAAGCAGCTAATCAGGGTCTTTAGGGGTACTAGAAACTTCAAGGCAAGTGTGTTTCAGATTCAGAAACAAAAACTATTCATTTGAATAAAAATGATGATATTTAAGTAAAGTGTTTGTGTATATTATTTGAGTCTAAAGGTAAATGAATAAAGAAAAGCCTCTGCGGCTCACTACAGACTCAGTGGATAATTAACTGTTTAAGTTGTGGGAAACTTCTAGGTTCAAATCCCACAGTTAATCAAGTTATTCTACATGTAAAACAAATGTTCAATAAAATCCTATCCAAACACCCGTTGACTCACTAGATCAGTGGTGTGCTTTAATCTTGGCATCTTGAGTTCAAATCCCATTTTCCTAAATGAAAGCATGCAGTGTGAAAGCCACAATGGGTTGGTTAAGCATGTGTTCGGCTGTGATGGAGGAATGGGTTAAAACACAGCATTACTTTAAATGAGTGACATATCATAAGAACTATGTATCAGTGACTTTTACTAAACGTAAAGACTTAAGGAGTGATAGACATTTTACAAAAGAAATGTAACGTTACTTTATGAAAGGATACTTACTAACCTCGATTCCTGCACTTTTATCGCGCCGTGTGTCGGTTTAATTTGCTGTTGAGCTGGAATATGTGCCGTTTAAAAGCATTAAGAGTCTGTCGCTGAGCTGTCATTTATATGATCTGTTTTTAAAACAAGCTGCACGTGTCGTGGAGGCAGTGTTGCCAACTAATTTTCAGAAAAAGTTGCTAAAGGCAGGTCGGTTCGTTGCTAAAAGTTGCTAAAGGCAGGTCGGTTCGTTGCTAAAAATTGCTAAAGGCAGGTCGGTTCGTTGCTAAAAATTGCTAAAGGCAGGTCGGTTCGTTGCTAAAAATTGCTAAAGGCAGGTCGGTTCGTTGCTAAAAATTGCTAAAGGCAGGTCGGTTCGTTGCTAAAAATTGCTAAAGGCAGGTCGGTTCGTTGCTAAAAATTGCTAAAGGCAGGTCGGTTCGTTGCTAAAAATTGCTAAAGGCAGGTCGGTTCGTTGCTAAAAATTGCTAAAGGCAGGTCGGTTCGTTGCTAAAAATTGCTAAAGGCAGGTCGGTTCGTTGCTAAAAATTGCTAAAGGCAGGTCGGTTCGTTGCTAAAAATTGCTAAAGGCAGGTCGGTTCGTTGCTAAAAATTGCTAAAGGCAGGTCGGTTCGTTGCTAAAAATTGCTAAAGGCAGGTCGGTTCGTTGCTAAAAATTGCTAAAGGCAGGTCGGTTCGTTGCTAAAAATTGCTAAAGGCAGGTCGGTTCGTTGCTAAAAATTGCTAAAGGCAGGTCGGTTCGTTGCTAAAAATTGCTAAAGGCAGGTCGGTTCGTTGCTAAAAATTGCTAAAGGCAGGTCGGTTCGTTGCTAAAAATTGCTAAAGGCAGGTCGGTTCGTTGCTAAAAATTGCTAAAGGCAGGTCGGTTCGTTGCTAAAAATTGCTAAAGGCAGGTCGGTTCGTTGCTAAAAATTGCTAAAGGCAGGTCGGTTCGTTGCTAAAAATTGCTAAAGGCAGGTCGGTTCGTTGCTAAAAATTGCTAAAGGCAGGTCGGTTCGTTGCTAAAAATTGCTAAAGGCAGGTCGGTTCGTTGCTAAAAATTGCTAAAGGCAGGTCGGTTCGTTGCTAAAAATTGCTAAAGGCAGGTCGGTTCGTTGCTAAAAATTGCTAAAGGCAGGTCGGTTCGTTGCTAAAAATTGCTAAAGGCAGGTCGGTTCGTTGCTAAAAATTGCTAAAGGCAGGTCGGTTCGTTGCTAAAAATTGCTAAAGGCAGGTCGGTTCGTTGCTAAAAATTGCTAAAGGCAGGTCGGTTCGTTGCTAAAAATTGCTAAAGGCAGGTCGGTTCGTTGCTAAAAATTGCTAAAGGCAGGTCGGTTCGTTGCTAAAAATTGCTAAAGGCAGGTCGGTTCGTTGCTAAAAATTGCTAAAGGCAGGTCGGTTCGTTGCTAAAAATTGCTAAAGGCAGGTCGGTTCGTTGCTAAAAATTGCTAAAGGCAGGTCGGTTCGTTGCTAAAAATTGCTAAAGGCAGGTCGGTTCGTTGCTAAAAATTGCTAAAGGCAGGTCGGTTCGTTGCTAAAAATTGCTAAAGGCAGGTCGGTTCGTTGCTAAAAATTGCTAAAGGCAGGTCGGTTCGTTGCTAAAAATTGCTAAAGGCAGGTCGGTTCGTTGCTAAAAATTGCTAAAGGCAGGTCGGTTCGTTGCTAAAAATTGCTAAAGGCAGGTCGGTTCGTTGCTAAAAATTGCTAAAGGCAGGTCGGTTCGTTGCTAAAAATTGCTAAAGGCAGGTCGGTTCGTTGCTAAAAATTGCTAAAGGCAGGTCGGTTCGTTGCTAAAAATTGCTAAAGGCAGGTCGGTTCGTTGCTAAAAATTGCTAAAGGCAGGTCGGTTCGTTGCTAAAAATTGCTAAAGGCAGGTCGGTTCGTTGCTAAAAATTGCTAAAGGCAGGTCGGTTCGTTGCTAAAAATTGCTAAAGGCAGGTCGGTTCGTTGCTAAAAATTGCTAAAGGCAGGTCGGTTCGTTGCTAAAAATTGCTAAAGGCAGGTCGGTTCGTTGCTAAAAATTGCTAAAGGCAGGTCGGTTCGTTGCTAAAAATTGCTAAAGGCAGGTCGGTTCGTTGCTAAAAATTGCTAAAGGCAGGTCGGTTCGTTGCTAAAAATTGCTAAAGGCAGGTCGGTTCGTTGCTAAAAATTGCTAAAGGCAGGTCGGTTCGTTGCTAAAAATTGCTAAAGGCAGGTCGGTTCGTTGCTAAAAATTGCTAAAGGCAGGTCGGTTCGTTGCTAAAAATTGCTAAAGGCAGGTCGGTTCGTTGCTAAAAATTGCTAAAGGCAGGTCGGTTCGTTGCTAAAAATTGCTAAAGGCAGGTCGGTTCGTTGCTAAAAATTGCTAAAGGCAGGTCGGTTCGTTGCTAAAAATTGCTAAAGGCAGGTCGGTTCGTTGCTAAAAATTGCTAAAGGCAGGTCGGTTCGTTGCTAAAAATTGCTAAAGGCAGGTCGGTTCGTTGCTAAAAATTGCTAAAGGCAGGTCGGTTCGTTGCTGAAGGCAGGTCGGTTCGTTGTTAAAGGGAGGTCGGTTCGTTGCTAAAGAGAGGTCGGTTCGTTGCAAAAAGTTGCTAAAGGGACATTTCTTTTGATGATGTTTGGATGATCCTGCATGCTGCATTTGTCCCTATATAAAGGAACGTCTTGTGGATCAGTCTGATCCCTCTTCCTGGTTCTGCAGAATGGGATCTGTATGGAAAAACAAATGGTTAGATCGCTTACACTACCTGTTAGCCTTCTAAAGAACTTACTAGACTTGGTCAGCTAGTTAACATCATTCATTACCAATGTTGGGTAAATTACTCAAAAAATGTAATCCACTACAAATGACTAATTACTTCTTTAAAATTGTAATTTGATTACATTACTGATTACTGCATTTAAAAAGTAATCAGATTACTAATTACTTTACATTTCAAGTTATCAAACCTAAAAAATAGGCTACACTACAAAGTGAAACTTTTTTTTTGTAAAATAAAGGAAATAGGGTGCGCTTTCTGCATTCTCAGTCTCCGTGAATATCTTCCTGAAACGAATCACTAAAATGAACGAATATGACATGAGAAATATATCTAAAGAAGTGTCTATTTTTAAATTAAGTCAGTCAAAACAAATATTCTCTGATAAAATAATCCGTATGAAACCAACGCGAGATAGCCTACAGTCTTTCTCGTCCGAGCTCACCTATAATGTGATCATGAAGACGCGCTGTGAGGAATAAGCCTTGAGTTTACCTCAGAAGAAGAATGCGATGCGACGATTAAGTGGGAGAACTTGCACAATTGGTGGCTGACTAAATACTTTTTTGCCCCACTGTAATTTAAGCTTAGTTTTTGTAATTTTGCTGTGTGCTTTTGTCACTTGTATTAATTTTTTTAATGTCTGCTTTGTTTTTAATCATTTTTATTTCATTTAATTTTAGTACTTCAATATCAAACTAAATAAAAAATGTTAAAGTAAAAAAGTTGATTTGGCAAATAAAAAAGTTTTGATGTTATTTCATTTCAAGTAACAAATATGTTTTTTAATAATTTTAGTTAACTATAACCCTTGTGCACACAAAAGACTTACGGTGAGGCTGTGTAAAATAATCTGGTCTGGTGAAGATGGCGAAGCTGCAGCTGTGAGTGTGACCGTGGGATTGGCTGAGAGCGTGAGGCTCTGATTGGTTCCTGTTTGGAGGAAATACGTTCCTGGGGTGCCAGTGGGCTGCAGGTGAAATGACTAGAGAGGAAATTACACAAACGATTTATAAACACAGCTTATACATCTTATAGTTTTGAAAAATACTCAAAGTAAAATCTGAGGTACTCACAGGCAGCAATTCAAAGGTCTGTAAAGCCCCGGAGTTCAATGTGATGGTTTCACTGTCTGAGGCACCGCTTGCACCGTCTGAAGAAGCTGTGGAGAGAGAAAACGGTGCATTGAATCTACAATGCCACTGAACTGTTAGAACCACAAAATTCCCTGAAACTACATTCACAGGTTATTTGACTCACAGACATGTGTGATCTGCACTGGAATCTGGACCGGGATCTGCAGTGCGGTGACAGGGCTGGGAGAAGCACAAGCAGATCGAGAACCAATCACCACAACCTTGTTCATCGCAGACGGCGGTGCCTCCACAACATCTTGCAGCCCTTTCAACAAGACTACACAACACAGAAAACACTGCTTCAGTGTCTGAACTCACATTATAACAGACATGCTAAACTATAAAGACGTTATCTCACCAGGAAAGGGAAGTTCCTTGTGATTGGCCACTTGTCTTTTGATGGTCCACCATTTGCTGCGGAGCCACTGAGGCGAGCGAACGCTGCTCCACCCACCGGCCAGAATGTCCCAATTAATTTCATTCTCATCCTCCACATCCAGTTCAGCTATCCTGCTCATGCATAATTATGATTAATGATTCATAATTAGTTTGTGAATAGGTATTGTGAATTTAGCTGTGAACTACCTGCGAACAAGGTTGATGTCATCTTCTTTGGTCCACTCCGTGCCACCGCTCTGTTTCCAGTTAAGGTAGTTGAGCCATTTGGAGCGGCACTGTTTCTCTGAGCGAGTGCCGACAAGTTCAGCCACCGATGCCCAAGAGACTCCCTGAGTTACAACGTCACCCGCATCTGTGCCCGTCAACTCGTGGACCACCTCTGCCAACCTTCGCTCCTCTTCCTCTGTCCATTTTCCTAGAGCATGAGAGTTTACAATGATGTCACACAAATAAATAAATAAGCATAATAAAAACAAACCACATAATAATACGGTATTGTTTATATAATTTATAATAATTAAAATGTTTTATTTAATATTTTCTTTGTCATTCTCATTTTACTTAAATAATAAAATAAGACTTAAAATAATGTAATTATTTATTAATTAATTAATAAGTTCAATAAAAGATACACAATTTAATTTATGAAATATAAAATTTATAATAATAATAAAAAAATATTTTAATAGGTAACAATTCTCTCATTATTATTATTTAAATATTATGCTATTATATTATTTTTCATTATTAGATTTATGTAAAATTCATATTTTATAACATAGTTATAACATAGAAGCATATTTGTTTAATATAACAAAAATAAACTAATATATATATGTGTGTTATAATCTACCTCCTTGATGGGACACTAAAATGAAAATTTGGAAAAACTGACCGGTGTTGCATGTGTCCTTCATGAGACGGCAGCGGTCCTTCACAGACGATGCACTGCGACCAAGTGCCGCCCCAATGGAAGCCCAATCATTTCCATGTTTCTCCCTTAGCCTAATAACACACCCAAATCTGACAATGTAGATCACACATTCAGGTCACACTTCATGACATTCAAGATTCATGGCTCAACTTACTCTTTCAATTTATTGATCTCCTCATCAGTGTACCTAAACGACAAGAATAGCACATATCAAATATTACACCAGTCATTTTAGGTGTATAATTGATTCTGTTTGGATCTGTGAATCTGTTTAAAAGATAAATAAAAGCAACTTACTTGCCTACGTGGTTTCGGTTATCGTACATTCGTAGTACGCGTCTGTATACAGCGAACAACGGTCTGTTCAAACCACACGCTATACTGCGGTAAAAATCCTTTCGCTCCTCTTTCGACATCTCAAAGATGATCTCCGCAGGGTCCCGAATCCCTCGGTTCTGAGTCGGGATGCACAGACAGATGAATAGTGAGGGTGCAAATCAAAGATGGCACCTGCAGCAAATGTGATGTATCTATAATGCATGCTCACCTTTAAATAACGCTCTATGTTGCTCATCAGGAGATCAATCTCCTCTTTTGACCACATACCCTGTTTCCATTTGTGACCTAAGGATATATAACAAATAATAAGACTGTGTGTACTGATATCAGGCCCTATATTTCTTATGCTGGGTATGCATGACAATACAGACCTGTATCAATAAGAAATATGTTTTACCTTTATTAACCAGTGTGTCTTTATCCTCTTTCGTGGTGAACCAGGCTTGACTGACAGCTGATACATCTTTACCTTTTTTTTGGACAGAAGAATCCTTATCCTGTTGACAAACAACATTTTTATATTTTATATTTATATACTACCTAAATAATCAGAAATAAATAAATAACACACTAAATTAAGTATTAAATCCATGCAAAGCCAGCAATTAATGCAGATTACAAAGCTGTATAGCACTAATAAACATATATTTCTACTGTCGTTTCAGAAGGGTCGTCTGATTCCAGCTCCCCATCTCTCATCTCCGTAGCAGTCATTGTCACCTCGAAGCTTTCATCACCTTCTGTAACTAAAACCAGCACAAACCAGTTAATATAATATCCCTCTTTACAGTTTAACGCATTATATCATCATTAAGTGCAAGTGATGCATGCAATGTTTTTTATTATTGTTTTTATTTATTTTTTTAACTATTTTAAATTATATTTGAAAATATTACAAATAAATACATTTATGTAAATCATTATTAATTTATTATATAAAATTTTTTATTTAATTGATTTCATTAAAATATTAAAGCATATATATATATATATAGGCGGTTTAAAAATAAATAACATATCTGTACATTAATTTAAACAATTACATGTTTTTTTCTCTATATTTCTACTTCTGTATATAGTGCATTATTTAATTTTCTGTTTTTCTTATATTGGTGTTATATTCCATCTCTACTGTGTAATTCCTATGTATTTCTGCACTATCATGTTTGTTTGCACTATGTCTGTACTTTCTTCTGCACTGGAAGCTCCTGTCGCCAAGTCAAATTCCTTGTGTGTGTAAACATACTTGGTAATAAAGCTCTTTCTGAGTTCTGACTTCTTTGCATTATCATTTGGTATAAAAGTCACTTAAATATATAAACGGTGTACAAACATGTACATGTGTGTTTATACTCACTTGGCAGAGTGACAACAGAATACTCCGTTGAGGTAGAGTCCTGAGGGTCTTCTCCATCTTCATTGGACAACCGCAGTCGTTTGTGAACAGGTTCGGTGGTCCCATCTGAACCCAGATCCTCCCCATCTGCACGTCCAAACCACACAAGCACAATATATAAACAAATACAATACAATGAAGCACAACATCATGAGATGGGTCACAGGTCGTGATAATCTGGAGTGTGTCTCACCATTTTGAGGGCAGTGCAGAATTATGTTTCCATCAGTGTCCTGAGTAAATGTGACAGAATTGACGGATTCAAGGGTCACAGTGGCTGGGACATCTCCTGTGTTCATGCTCAGCCTACAGGTTAATTTATAATATATATATATATACATACATATACACACACACACACACACACATATATATATAATACATATACATATACATATACATATATATATATACACATACATATATACATATATATATATATATATATATTATACACACACACACAGTCAGACAGACTCACTTTTAATGCGCTAAAGATAAACCCAAACACTTTATTTGCATTATAATGGATATTTATTATACTAATATAACATTTTAGACAGTTTGCTTGCAACAAATGCTGCTGTATATGTTTCTCCATAGGCATTTAATACAACGCAAACTTTAAAGAACACACAAATGTATGACCCGCGATTTTCTTTTAATGAAGAAAGCTGAATAATATCAGCTTCGAGAATAATGCTATGCACCATTCTGATTATTGCCATCTTGTAAATTTCCTATGTGGTCCTTTAATATAAGCAGATGAGGAATAATGAGACGCCATGTTTATGTGCAACATGAAGCCGTGAGGTATCGACGGCATTTATTCAATGTCGGTGCGTTATTTTTCATGTAAAGAATAGAAAGATGCAGGTCCAGCGCACAGAGGTGAGCGAAAGTGAAATTTAGCTTTGGTTTTGGTACTTACTTCCTGTTTTGGGTACGGGAACTTCGCAGTGACCAGGATGAAGGCAAATACCAGGATGGAGGATACGCTTTTTTTCTGCCTCTCCTCATACAGAGCGGAAGCGTCTACAGAAGCCCGCTGGTGACTTCCGCTTCTGAAAGCTGTTTGCATTTTTTGACTGAATGTTCGTTTGTGTTTTAAAAGTGCACATTTATATAGGTTGTCACCTTATGTTTGGACGAAACTCGTTAGTAGAGTAAGGTTTTAATATGTGGTAAGCACATTTGAATGTATTAACACGCTTTCAGAGTAATTGCAGTCTCAGCAGCGCCATCTGCTGTTGAATCTGGAGAAAATACGTTACTTATATTTTGGGTGGGGGGGTGGACGGATGGGTGGATGGACGGTTGGGTGGATGGATGGATGGATGGTTGGATGGATGGACGGTTGGGTGGATGGACGGGTGGATGGACGGTTGGGTGGATGGACGGATGGACGGATGGTTGGATGGATGGATGGATGGATAGATAGATATCTATCTAGATAGATAGATCTAGTGGTGTGGTTCAAACAACGAAAAGTCATTTTTACAGCCCTATAGAAACACCTGGAAGGAGGATCATCACACTTGTGTGCACTCACACATATTTTGTAGATGTTTATGCAATGCATTTCCGCTCACTTGCATTGTTGTTTCCTGTTTTCACCTTGTTTTCTTTCCATCCTGACAATAAATCGGGTATGCAATGGTGCAATATTACTGAATTATTTATTGCATATTGTCTCTCTCTCTGTCATGCTCTCCCAGCGTGACTTTCTTACTAAGGGTCACTTTAATAAAAGAACATCGAGTGTTCAAATATATAGTGTTTGTTTATTTATACATTATTTATTTTTGGAACATGATCATTAGTGAGTCTTAAATTTAGCTGAGTTTACAAAAACGGTTAATTCGACCTCAATAAAAGATGCCATGTGAAGTGGCTGGGGGACTAGACCGCGTGACGTCAGACGCGCGCTGTCAAGCAGAGCCTCAGAAGCGCAGCTACAGCAGCGTTAGGAGCTTATCGTTGAGCACAGCGCAGCGTGTTCGCATTTCAGCCTGTCGTTTATGCATAGACGTCGCGAAACCTCGTTATCTTTATTCGGATCCTCGGCATCTCTTGTTTTCCTTTAATTCCAGCCCTATGAGATGGAGAAGAGGGCGCTTTGGACATCCTGTTATTTTGTGCGCTTTGTAACCCTCTTCCTCTGCGCACGAGCGTCAGGCAACCTGCCACTGTGTAAAGAGGTAAACGACAACATGTCCCCTTTTTGTAAAACGTATTCATTTTAAACATAATGACAATTTAAACCAATCACGACGTAGGCACATTTTGTTTCTGCATACAACTATTTAAAATTAATACTAAAATGTTATTCGCAGGATTGTGAGCTTCTAAAATGCCTTTAATGCGCATTGTCGTTATTACGTATTATTTATTTTTAATACACAAACATAATAGTTATGTATGCACAAAATCCGTGATGAAAAAGCAAAAAGAACATCTTGTTATTGACATTAAAATGGTTACCGACGAGGATCCTATAATATGATGACGCGGCGCTCAGCTGGCCAATCAGATGAAAGCTCGATTATTGTGCGTTATGCGCTGCATTCGCTTTAGAGCTTGTAAAATGGATTCATATGAACTTTAAACATATTCATAAAACGCGAATGGGTCTCCACCCTCCATTTAATTTGAAAAGACTGTCGTGTTGTTCTTGCCTCATCCATATTTGCATACAAAGACGCGCTTATTAAAGGGCCACTTCAACCAAAAATGACCGGACGGATGCTGGGCAGAATGACAGCCTCAGTTACCATTTGTGACCCTGGACCACAAACCCAGTCATAAGGGTCAATTTTCTGAAATTGAGATTTATACATCATCTGGAAGCTGAATAAATAAGCTTTCCGTTGATGTATGGTTTGTTATGATAGGACAATATTTGGCTGAGATACAACTATTTGAAAATCTGGAATCTGAGGGTGCGAACAAAAATTGAGAAAATCGCCTTTAAAGTTGTCCAAATGAAGTTCTTAGCAATGCATATTACTAATCACAAATTAAGTTTTGATATATTTATGGTAGGAAATTTACAAAATATATTCATGGAACATGATTTTTACTTGATATCCTAATGATTTTTGGCATAAAAGAAAAATTGATCATTTTGACCCATACAATGTTTTTTTTTTTGGCTATTGCTACAAATATACCCGTGTTACTTATGACTGGTTTTGTGCTCCAGGGTCACATTTGTTGTTACTGCATAGAAAATATGTTAATAGAAATAGTATTAATAGTTAATAATAATAAATGACTTAATTAATACTATTAATATGTTAATATTCATAAATAGTGCTCCTGTGGCTCAGTGGTAGAGCATTGTGTTAGCAGCACAAAGGCCGTGAGTTCAATTCCCAGGGAACACACATACTGGTAGAAAATGTATAGCCTGAGTGCACTGTAAGTCGCTTTGGATAAAAGCATCTACTAAATACATACATTTATTTAAATGTAAGAACATTCTGCTTTATATATAAAATGCCGTTTTGGAACAACACGGGGTGAGTAATGATGACAGAATCTTAATTTTGGGGTGAACTGCTCCTTTAAGAGTATTTGAGGGGGATGCTGGGTAATAGTGGCAGGTGCAGGTGCACCATTAGTGATAATGTGTGTGCTGTAATCAAGCATTACCAGATGACAGGCACCTCCAGTGGGATGTATTTATCATCTTCCTGAAGGCAACAACTTCATTACACTGTATTATGGTGGTATATGTAATTTAATACATGGTTTGCGCACTTACCTGTGTGTGTGTGTGTATGCGGTCAATTTGGCTTTTGTGTGTAGCAGGCCCCTAAAGGAGCAGAGAACAATCGCTGCATTTCAGAGCATTGGACACACACTGATTTGCATAACAGATCTGTCAACAAAGACGCACACACAGAATGTATTTAGTGGCCTCATTATTTCAGGTTGTTATCAGTGTATATATTAGACTCTTCATTCATTACCATCCACAACCAAAAGCAATGAGTGATCGTCATGACAACAGTCACAGGCTCCTGGCCGTTGCCCTGGCGACTGTCCGGGGACAAAAGGCAGATATTCAGACCATCCCCATCCCCCTGCTATTGTAAGCACACACGAAATCGAACTATCTGTTATATGTGCCTGAGAGTTTTGGAAACAGTAAAAGATCAGGTAGGGGTGAGTGGGGTAAGATGTTCAAGATGCTTGCTTAATCAAAAAAATAATAATGGCACAAATTATGTTACATGACAATATGTTTTGAAAGGGCACTTTCTGTAAAGCTGCCTGTGTTTGAGAAGAACACATTTATTTAATTTTTTGCAAAAAAATAAACTTTTTTTATGCATGTCAAAAAAAATTGTCCATGATTGCACACATATCCAGGATTGTATTTTATTTTTTTGCTTAAAAACTTTTTTATGCATGTCAAAAAAATTGTCCATGATATATATATATATATATATATATATATATATATATATATTGCACACATATCCAGGATTTTATTATATTGTAGTTTATTTGTTTATTTTAGGCTAAAAACCTTTTTTATGCATGTTAAAATAAATTTTGTCCATGGGTTTCTTTTATTTGCCCCAGGAACACTTACTCTGGAAAGGGAGCCAGTTCATGTACACCATGCTCCAAACCACAGTACTCCCGTACGAACACATCATTCAGACCATTTCTTAAATTTTTTGTTGTGCCAAACAATCTACGTATGGCTTGTTGTTATCATTTTAGCAAGAATCCAATACAATCCAGTAATTTTTCAATGTGTATAATGTCTCTAGTATGACCATACATCCATTTTTTCCTGGTTGGTATTTCTAAATTGCCTAAATTGTCTGGGGTTTGCTTTGTTTTCCTATTGTATTCATACTTACTGAAAGTAATGACTGAAAAGTAGTTTGACCAATAGCAAGCAGGCGTTGTACATAATCGTCCAATTGGACTCTAGGACTGTAGTGGACATGTCAATAGGAAAACAATGCCAAAATCTGGACATTTTAGGCAATTAAGAAATCCTGGCTGGGAAAAAGAGGACATATGGTCACTCTAATGTTTCTCTACATGTGTGTGTGTGTGTTCTAGAGGAGGGATGGTCGCAGTGTAAAGAAAGACCTCCTTGTTCAGAGAAAGACTATTTTCAAATCCACACGGCCTGTGATAGTGACGGCAAGGTAGGGAAAGTATAATGCAGAATGTGTTTTGTTGTAAATTATGTGTGGCTAATTTGTTCATTTTTATATTGCTGTATTATTTTAGACCCAGATGCTGTACAGGTGGGTGGAGCCTCAGGTGTGTGTGGAGAATGTGTCTGGTGCTGTGACGCTGCCTCCTTCTGGAGAGAAAGAGGACTGTCCGCCCTGCAATCCAGGATTTTACATGCACAATTCTTCCACCTGTTTACCCTGCCCTCAAGGCACCTACTCTGATGGCACCACAGGTATATAGAAACACATTAACATAGATACACATTCATGTATTATGCAACACTGTTGGTTTACTGGTACTGGTGTTTAACAGAGAAGATTTCTTTTGGCACAGAATGTCAAAGATGCCCAGGAGGAACTGAACCTTCTTTGGGATATGAATACAAGTGGTGGAACATCCTGCCGAGGAATATGAAAACGTCTTGTTTTAATGTGGGCAACTCCAAATGTGATGAAATGAATGGTAAGAGTAATAGAAATGGAAAAACTTAACTTAAAAAATACATTTAGAAATGTTTCAACTAATTCAAATACTTTAAGTTGAAGTCCTAAGATTACTAAAACTAAAACTATTAAAGCTAAATAGAAATATACATCTTTATTGTAAAATCTATCTTTGTAATAAAAATTACAAGAGCACATATTTAGGAGCACAACATTACTAAAACTTTAAAACTAAAATGAAAACGGAAAATATACCAATAAAAGCTAATACACACACACGCATATATATACATATATATATATATATACACCTACTAAAACTAAAATTTGAAGCTAAATAGAAATAATAATTTTTTATAAGAGCACATAACAAAATTACTAAAACTTCAACTAAAATTAAATAATAATAAACCCTTATATATATATATATATATGTGTGTGTGTGTGTGTGTGTAAATAAATAAACCTAATCATTAAGAATAATTAGCATAATCATTAATTTATGTAATATTAATTTATATAATGTTACCATGGATTACTTTGTCTTTCTAGTTCAAAACTTCTCATCCAATTCAATGTGTTGCTGATTCTTTGTAATTATTTATGAAATTTACTTGCACTTTCTGAGTGAACATTGTTTCATCACCATTTTTCAGCGTTTCAATAAATACAAAGACATATATACACACACACACACACACACACACATATATATATATGATCAAAATGATCAATTTTTATTTTATGCCAAAAATTATTAGGATATTAAGTAAAGATCATGTTCCATGAAGATATTTTGTAAATTTTCTACTGTAAATATATCAAAACTTAATTTTTGGTTAGTAATATGCATTGCTAAGAACTTCATTTGGACAGCTATATATATATATATATATATATATATATATATATATATTAATAGCATGTATGCCAATGCACACAACATTACAGGCCAATGAAGTAAATGCTCTATGATCCGATGCACATTTGTTTCTGTAGGTTGGGAAGTGGCTGGCGACCACATTCGTATCGGAGTGGGCGGCTCAGATAATGATTACCTCATCTTAAATTTACGAGTGCCTGGATTCAAGTGAGTCAGATCTACAATTCCAGTGTTAAAATGTTGGTTGTGCATAGAACATTTACAAGTGGCCTCTCTTTTTTTATCTCTCTCAGACTTCCTACTTCTGTGAACGATGCTTCAGCTACTGAATTCGGCCGAATCACGTTTATCTTCGAGACCAACTGCAGCGCAGACTGCGAACTCTATTTTATGATAGTAAGACAATAATTTAACCAAAACAGTATGTGAAACAGTAGAATGCACAACTTTAAAAAGTTTTAAAAAACAAACGGTAAGGAGACATTCTATTTTATCATTTTGCAAGCATTATGGAAATGTTATTTTTGAATGTTCTCTGAAGTAGTAGCATTTAAAAACTGTGAACATAAATGAATGTTCATCTAAAACGTTTCAGAAAAAAACGTATCATGAACGATGTACAAGTAATGTTTTGTGCTAACATTTTGAGAATAATAGTCCAGTCATCACAATGAATTAATCTGCAAGTTATTTACTAAATCAATGCATTTTCTCCATAGGACGTAAACAGGAAGAGCACAAATGTTGTGGAATCATGGGTAGGGAGTAAACCGAGACAAGCGTACACCCACACCATGACCAAAAATGCTTCGGTTTCGTACACATGGGCTTTCCAGCGCACCAACAAAGCCTCTGATGCAAGTATTCACAACAGAAATTAGTCTTAAGTACCTTTTTGTCATGTGGAAAAGTTCTCATTCGCGGTGTCTTTCTCTCACAGGTGCGTCAGCATGTAAATGACATTGCAAAGATCTACTCGATCATGGTGACTAATGCGATGGATGGCTCAGCATCTGGTTGCCACGCCTGTGCTATGATGAGTCAGCAGGATGGCTCTTCCTGTGTCCCCTGTCCCGCTGGACACTTCATCAACAAAGACACCAACCAATGCCAGGAATGCCCGCCCAATACTTTCCTCTCTGGGCATCACATTTATGGCCAGGAGGCCTGTCAGCCCTGCGGACCTGGAAGCAAGAACAACAAGGTATGAGTATAACCAAGAGGTAATGCAGGACTATGTTGGTTTTTAACACTGTTTAACATGCAAAATGTGTTTTATGTGTCCAGGAGCACTTTGTGTGTTTTAACGACTGCACCTTCTCGCATATGGATCGCAACCGAACGCTGACATACGACTTGAGTGCCTTGAGCTCAGTGGGGTCAATCATGAATGGGCCTAGTTTCACCTCCAAGGGAACTAAATACTACCACCAGTTTAATATCAGTCTGTGTGGGGCTGAGGTACTCTCACATACACACGTCTTTAGCGGACTAAAAATAGATTGCTTTGATAGAAATTAGAAATAGCTTTTTTAGGATCATCACAAAGTGCATATTTTGTTCTCTCTCACAGGGGAGGAAGGTGGCGGTGTGCACTGACAATGTTACAGATCTGTCCAGTAAGGACCTGCAAAATGAATCCGCTGACCTTAACAATTTCGTCAAGACTTTTGTGTGCCAATCAACCATCATCCCTGCAGATGGACGGGGCTTTAGAACATCACTGTCGTCTCAGTCCATCAGCCTGGCTGACACTTTCCTTGGTGAGCTTATTTCTTTAACAGTATTTAACATACATGGCCGTTCAGATGTTTGGAGTCAGTAAGATTGTTATTTTTTTTCCGAAAGAAGTCTCTTATGCTCACCAAGGCTGCATATATTTTTTTTTACAATACAGTAAAAATTTACAATTTAAAATAGCTGTTTTCTATGTTAATATGTAATTTATTCCTGTGATGCAAAGCTGAATTTGCAACATCATTACTCCAGTCGTCAGTGTCACATGATCCTTCAGAAATCATCTTTTTTGCATTGAAATACAGAGAATATATCTGAAATTTGGCCACCTCTAATCTACAATAAAGTTGTTTTACATGGCACTTTTGTGTTTAGCTCCCTTCAAAACAGAGGTGTTCTAATTTCTTACTCGTCTCATTTCCTTCATTCTTCCATTTCTCAGGAGCTTCTGTTCACAAAAATCTGGATGGGGTCACTGTCAGCTCAGACCTCTTCCCTGAGTCTTCATGGAAAGTTCCAGATATCAACTTCTTCTATCGGTAAATAAAGAAAGATGAAGTTGTTTAAAATAGGTAGTTGATGTGTGCAATGATATTTAATTTATAATACAATAATGTTTTTTTCACCTCAGCTCTCCACAGCCCACAGCATCCTGTCTGAACGGCCGGAGCACAGTCGTGACTCTGCGTTGCAATCCTGAGAAGAGTGCACGCGGAGAGCTCACTGTGCCTAGGTGCGTGTATTTCTATGCTTATTATCTGTATTTGTTCACAAACTTATGTATTTTAGGACCAAGTTAACATATTAAACATGTTAAACGCATTGCATTTTTTATTAAAATGTGATTAAAATGTGCATAGCTGAGTATCTTTATGGATCATTTGTACATGTAACAAAAATTAGCATTTTTCAAATTTGCATTCTTTGTATATGGTGAATTATCATCGAAGCTCAACAGCTGAAATATTACCCATGAGTGAAACACCGCTATTAATATAAATGCTAATACATAGCATTCAAATGTTTGTAGGCCAATTGCAAATATGCAATGAATATTCAATGTTTGTAGATTTGCAGTTACACTTTTTCTGTGTGTGAAATGAGAAATGTTGATTTTGAGAGTGAGTTGGGTTCGAAATGCACTGAAATGAACCATTCTGCTACAAATGCCTTCCACAAAAATTGTCGGACTGATAACGTACATTTACAAACAATTTGAATAGCTTGAAGGAAAGACAATGTGGTAATGTTAATCACAAAAAAGCACTTCTTAATTGTGTGTTTAGCAAGTGCCCAGCAGGTACATGTAATGGCTGTGAGTTTCATTTCCTCTGGGAGAGCTCTAGCGCTTGTCCTCTCTGCACTGAAACCGACTACCATTCGATAGAAGGAGCGTGCAAAGGAGGAGTACAGGTACATCTCTTTCCACAAATGCATCTAGTACAATTTCTTCAGCATCGTTCTGATTAATCATGTATCCTTCTCATAACAGGACACCCTCTATGTGTGGAACGAACCTAAATTTTGCACCAAAGGGGTACCGCTCCCGAACAAGACCTCCGCCCACTGTGAGGTGGTCAGCCTATGGGTGAAGGCCGGAATTGGGGGCGGAGCCTTCATGGCTGTCCTCTTGGTTTCTCTCACATGTTATTTCTGGAAAAAGAACAAAAGGTAACAAGCTGTCAATGGAAATTCAGCTTGAGATGCAAAAAGTGCTTTTTGATTTTTGACCTCTTTTCTTTTTTCTACAGGCTTGAATATAAATACTCCAGACTAGTGATGTCGGCCAATAAGGACTGTGAGTTGCCAGCAGCGGACAGCTGTGCATTAGCAGAGGGAGAAGGGGAGGAGAATGAGGACGATGTTGTTTACTCACATACTCCTTCGTTACTGGGTAAACTGAAAGCTATCGCAAGCAAGGTCAGTTAATTGTTGTGAGCTTGATGCCATTCCAAAATTATTTGTTAATATGTTCAATTTATATTAATTGAAGTGAATAATGTAATTATGGATATAGCTAGTGGACATACATGGATATCATATGATATCAGTGTAATTTATTATTATTAAATTAATTACTGGTGGCACAACACAAGCTTGCCACAAACAGTAATATTATATAATAAAGATAAGTTAATATTTTTCATTAAAACCAATGCAAATTCGTTCACCCATTATATAGTAGTATATACACTATACTAGAAATTGAACGGACATATTAAATTCATCAAAAGTCACAGTAAAGGCATTTATGTTAAAAAATATATTTATTTCAAATAAATGTTGTTGTTTTGAACTTAAATGGTATCATTGTCTCCACCAAAATATTAAGCAGCACAACTGTTCAGCATTGATAATAAATTTTCTTGAGCAGGAGCACCAAATCAAATATTAGAATGATTTCTGAAGACTGGAGCAATGATGCAAAAAATTCAGCTTTGCATCACAGGAATAAATATATTCAAATAGAAAACAGTTATTTTAAATTGAAATAATATTTACTGTATTTATCAAATAAATGCAGACTAGGTGAGCAGAACTTCTTTCAAAAACATCAAAAAATCTTACCGACCCCAAACTTTTGAATGGTTGTGTATGGTGCAGAAATGGCTTTTGTTAAAACAGAAACAAGACCTCAAAAAACAACTTCTGCTAAGTTGAGATCATGAGAAAGTAAAAAACAAGACATTAATCACCATGCCACAGATGCTTATTGAGCTTAACTAAAATACATTTTGTATAGTTTTTTGTTTTCATCTGATGTTTTATTTACCTTTGCTTGGCTGCAGGCAGACAGAGACAACAGCGAGTCAGTACAGCTGAAGTCTTCTCAGTCAGAGAGATGGGTTTGGGGATAACTGGAAAAAAGAGGACCGCTACTGATGGAGAGAAAGAGACAAACACTCATGGAGTTTTCAGTGTTTTGACACTCCTGCTTAAGTTTCTTAATATTTCCAGCCGTCCCCCGTCAAACGTCTGAGAACATATCTCTGTAGGGTCTCAATACAATGTGTTGTGAGTCAAAAAGCAGGAAATCTCTCTAGGTAAAATAAAATTAGCCCCATAAAGTAACTGTGTCACATACATACCGCTAAAACATGACAAAAGTTACAAAGCATTGCTTTCTGAGACACATTTGCATCATGGTGTGTGTGAACAATTGAACCACTATACTGCAAAATGAGCCTGAAAAACTGTATGTTTGCTGGTATGTGTATATAAGAATGTTTCATTTTTAAGGTATATTTTTCCTGCTTCACCCACTAGCATTCATGCAATTATATCTAGTGGTTGGCCAACAGATGGAGACAGAATCTTACCGCTACACAGAGCTTCTTTAGTTTCATCTCAATGCCAAACATCACACAGCAGATCTAAAAGAGAGAAAAAAGGCCCTTCCTTCATGTATTACAGAGAGGACCGTCTTCTCTCCACATCTCTCCTCTGAGGAGAACAAGAGACAATACCATTTTCTACTTTGTATTTTGTATTGTTGTGTATTTCGAGCTGTATAAAGTTATGTTGAAATATGTTTTGTTTTACTCCCTGATTCTGTTTATGCTTTAATAAACTTTAAGAGCGCTTTAAACACGGAGCAAGTGTGTTAAGCATACAGAAAAACACACCAGACCAGTTCATAAGAACATTCTGCTAACATCTGCATTTTAAAAACATTATTTCTGAATGTTCTCTGAACATTCAAAATGTCCATTTCAAACCTTTTTTTTAAAGGAACACTCCGTTTTACATTTTTCCAAACATTATCGGAATGTTACGTTTGAATGTTCTGAACGCTCTGTTATAATTAGAAAAATGCCAAAAGTTCTGAGAACATTCCTTGTTGGCTGAACAGCATTTCACTAAAAGATACTTCATAAAGTAAATGTCTAGTCTCTTTAAAGTGAATGACTAAAATGCTAAATATTGTAACACCATATGTAAACACAAGATGTGACTCGCCTGTATTATTCCTTGGTTACCTAAAAAATTGATGACTCCTAAATGTACAAGAGCAAGTCCACAAGTTTGAGAAAGGGACCAATTATCTGAATATCCCATGGTGTGAGATCTACAAGACAGCCAATAGACAAATTAAGTTTGCACTCACTAATATTAGCATAAAAAATACATAAAACTGGGCACTAATATGCATTAACTTTTATTCAGCTCGCCACTGCTTAACTGTAATGTATGCTGAAATATGAATATGGCATATTTTACCTAGTTTTTGGAGGCAGATATTTTGTAATATTCATGTCAGGGAAGAACAAGTTATTTAAAACATTTTTTCTTTTTATTCAAAATAATATGTTTGTTAAACAGTAATGCAGATATGTCACTTGGTAATAAATTATCCTGATAATTCAATACTTTGTAATGATGCAACTATTTAATCTGTGGATCAAAATATACCTATAGCACTCACAAACTGAGTAGGAATGTATTTTAGGAAAATGACAGGAGCGACAAACCGTTCGCCGAGGTTATGGCTTGTAAGTTAACTCTCATTGCACGCATTCAGGTGCCATTGCATGATACAGTTTGTTTTCAAGAGAGGCCGTTATTAGGTCTTTCTCCCCCTCTATTTCCTAACCTCTATATCTTGCATCCTTTGATCTCATCTCCCTCTCTTCCCTGACGGTAGGTGGAGTAGGACAGCTCGTTTGCCTCCCAGCAGTACAGATGCACTTTGAAAAGATCAGTGAGCGAGAAAACAAAGAGAGACAGATATGAGAAGAGAGTCACCAGGACACAAAGCCCCAGAGCGAGCAGATGACTAGCCCAGACTCTCTCTCTCATACATAGAACATATAAACACATTCCTACTTCTAACAAATGAAACCAGGGGAGAATGGGGTAAGCTGTGACACTTTTCAAATATGAAATTGACAGAAATACCTTTACAATAATCTTTCAAAAATAAATTGCCAAAATTTAGAAAATAATTAGTGTATATTTATGTAATTTATTTATAAACTATTTTACACACACACATAAATATATATATATTTTATAATTAATATATTTATAATAAATAATATATATTTAAAATTTTATATATTTTCACATGTTCATTTTATATTTTATATAACAAAAACAATTAAAGCCTTTCTGAATACTTTATCTGATAATCTGACAAAAACAATTAAATTTTTTGGTAGATTAAGGAGGTGACACATCTTACCCCAATCTCCCTAACACTTAAGTCATCAGGATTGTTTGTGTTCAATTGTACAGTACATTTATGTGAATGTGAAATATACACAGCATGCGATTGATATATTACATCAGCAATGGGAACTGCGTCTACATGTACACAAGTGTCCAATAAAGAAATAGTGAATGTATCCTTTTGCGTTGCCGATCTCCAAAATCCGATTTTACATCATGTGGGCATTTTTGTACAGTTCATACGCTAACAGACTATTTCTAAAACCGGCTGCAAACATCCATAATTGCTTCTCACAAAGCTTTCCCTTCATTAGTTTTCATCTTACAGTTGCTGTTAAACCTCAGGCCAAAAAAAAATATAAAAAATTAGCCACTCAGCAGCCTAGCAAAAATATCTACAGTCTGTTCTACATAATTAAATCTGATAGACTCAAAAAAAAAATTCAGCTTAATTTTCACTGGTAATAGTTTGTGATGGTATGAAGCAGGGTTTGAAATAATACATTAGGTGCTTCGAAAGTTTTTTTTTTCTTTAACACTGGGTTTCGTCTAAGCATCATACTTCTTTCCCACCCTGTGGATTTGCTGGTACAAGGTCATGGAGAATGCCATCCCGAGCAGCTGCAGGACAGAGAAAATGACTTCAGCGTGGATGTGCATCAAACAGGATGTGACATCATTGGAGGCAAAGCTGTTTTCCAAAACATTCCAGGATGAGTCTAATCGTAATATTTGTACCTGCAAGACCAGCACACACATCGCGATGGTTCCGAGCAAATGTTTGTTGTCGTTCAGCCATTCCTCAACCTTCTCATAGCAACCCTGAGAGTCAGAAAGAAGAAGTGTGTAGTAACATTATAAGTAATGCTGGGAAGGCTATTGAAACTGTTTATAAATTCTGAAAATTTACAATGTGCACCACATTCAGAATTTAAAGTAGCTAAACTATAGTCACACTATATTTATCTATATTTTAAGTAGTTAGCTACAGTATAAGCAAGTAGTAAAACTATTTAAGCAGAAAATATAGTTACATTATTAAACTGGATGATCACAGAAGTATTTATGACTATATACTGTATCTCAATTAGGGCGACTTGGCCCAGTAAATTTCTAAATTCTAAACTAAACTACTAACACTAACAAAAAGAAAAATCTCTACTACAAAACTAATTTTGTATTAACTACTGTTTATATTTGCTGTACTATGCAAATACAGTATT